AAAGTAGTGTACTGAGGGAATTGGAAGGGGTGGTGATTAGGAGGTGAGTGAAAAAATGCAGGAAATATAAGAGCAGGAGGCTTTTAGAGGTGGGAGACATGAAAAAAGAAAAAAAAAGATCTTTCTAGACCAAGAGAGAGAATTATTACCCTAAATAACCACTCTTTCTGGGATTCCCATTATGAGTTTTCCAGCACTGACCTCAAGTAAAGGATTTTCTATGCTAGTCGAGCCATGGTATTTTGTTAATGAACACTGTTGAGAGACTAGTATGTATAGATTTCAGTGTTTGATTCTGTACAAAATAAAGAGAAGCAGAGACTATGCTCCAGGCTCAAGGAATTTTCAGCCTTCATAAGAGGAAGAAAAGACTAACAGGTATCAACTAGATTCAAAAAATTAGAAGAAGCGGGGAAGGTATAGCTCAGTGGTAGAGTATGTGCTTAGCATGCATGAGTTCCTGGATTCAATCCCCAACACCTCTATAAATAAGGAAACTTAATTACCTACCCTTCCCCAAATAAAATCAAGTGAAATATTACCCATGCTATAGGCTTTCAAAAAAGCAAAAAAACAAAAAAAAAATTACTCTGGGTTAAAGTGTAAATAGACAGGGAAGATGTCACAGGAGAGGAAGCAGTGGTGCTGCCCAGGTCGCCGGAATCCTGACAACCAGATGGACCCTTTGTTCAGCTCTCCGAGCATCACTGGTCCCACATCATCTCCTCCTTCTCTGCCTCATCTCACACAGCTCTGCCTGCCCGCTTCTCTGCCCCTCCTTCCCCTGTGAGACCCAATAAGAGGAATTCCCAGAGAACAAATACAATTTCACTTCTTGCCTTGCAACCAGCTGGAATCAGTCTCCAGAGGATCTACTTGCCAAAGGACCTGGTAAAGACCGAAATCCCATGACTGAGACTCAGTGGGAAAAGAGATGAGCGAGAGGGAAAATAGCATTGCGTATTTTTTTAAGTGGCTACCCTGTACCAGGAACTGTGTGAGGCTGAGGAGACACAGCGGTAGTGAGGACCGCGTTGGGCGAAATCACTGTGACCACTATGGAGACTACAGACCCTACCGATGAGATTACAGACACGGGGAAAAGGCAGAGAAATAACGAGATGATTCTGGGCACTTTATACATATTATCTTATATAATTCTCATATTTCCTTTTTTTTCCCACAAGGGGAAACTGAAGTTAGTTGAACGAGGTAGAATAAATTTTTGTCAGTAGATAAGCAGGGATTTGAAGTTGGGTCTTCAGACGCCACAGCTGATAGATTGTCTTCTCACTGCATCATACTTTCATTAACAGATATAACAGTATTAACTTACAAGTACGGGTCAACCCTGGGAATGTCATAAGGAAAAGACAGCTATCCTCCTAACATTTTCCTTATTTTTCATCTCTTTTAATTTTTACTGCAGAAGAGTTTGCCCTAGATCTGAGATGGAGACCTTCTCTCTGCTGCGACTTGGCCTATGGTTGGTTTTTGCAGGAGCTCCAGAAAGTATAACGGAGGTAATTAAAGAAGAATTTTTAGAGGAAGAGATGCAATATGACACGGCAAAATGTGACCAAGAAAAGCAGACCGTTGTGGTTTTAATGAATTGGACTCTGTTAGATAGAAATACCAGCCTCAGTATGTCCAACGATGTGAGGTCGTTCTCATTACTGACATTCAGAAGATTGTGTTATAGCTTCCCCCAAAGAAGTGGTCCAGTTAGTAACAAAAAGCACTACAATGACGTGACAGTCTGGAGAAAAGTTTCAGAAGCTAATGGGTCATGCAAGTCAAGTAACAACTTCATTTATGGCTCCATGGAAGTGATCTGCGGGGTCTCCGAGGCTGCCAGCTGCAAGAGTGGGCAGAATCCTGGCATAAGCTGCTCTGAGAGCCTGGAACACGGGACCACTACATGCCAGATCACCATGGGCAAACAGTCCCCCAGGTGCCAACACCACAGTGTCACCTCATTAAAGAAAATGATGGTGGTGCTGACAAGTCATTCTCTGATGAGCTGGTTAGTTAGTGACTCTAAGTTGTAAACCCCACAGGACTTTGAGACTAGAATTTACCTGAAGAAGGACATACTGATTCTCATTGCTAGTTACTGCTTTCCATTATTCACATCTACCCGTTCAGCACCGCAGGCTACTCTTGATTACTTTTACGAACTGGAGAAATTAAAAACCCAAAATTGCGGATAATTCAATTAAAATGCATGACCGATCCTGGAGGGCAGATATTTTCTCTTTTTCTTTCTCATACATACACACATAAACTTTCTCTGAACCAAACTGAATTCCACCCTAGCTCAGCTATAAAGCCAAGAAGCAGAGTCTACCCAGCTTGACAGAATTATAGAGAGAAGCCCCAAACCAATGCAGATAATTGAAGGGGGAGGGTGTAGCTCAGTGGTAGAGCTCATGCTTAGCATGCACGAGGTCCTGAGTTCAGTCCCCAGCACCTCCACTAAAATAAATTAATGAAATAAACCTAATAACCACTTCCCCCACAAAAAGTTAACTGTACTGCCACAGAGACTGCTCAGAGAAGTAGTGAATGGCATGGGGGATATTATTATCATTGCTTCTCTACAAAGAATTATGCAGCTGGGAGTCTACATGTCCTCCAGAAGCTGCCAGATGACAAAGGACCTTCGGTTTAGCTGCTGCCCTCATTCAATCCCCATTCCTCCATCCTCGCTATCTATTTCACAAGTTGCTACAGAGAGAGAAAATAAAGCTCTAATTGCAATTTTCACTCAAGCATAGTCTGGATTTCCTGGGGCTGTGCGTGAGGCATGGCAAGTCACTGAGGGATGGAGGAGGTAAGGCAGACGGGAAATAGGAAGTCTGTACTAAGTACTGCAGTTTCTGATGTGGCAGTCAATTTTTTTTCAGCACTGATTGTTTATTTTTAAGTAAATCTTCATGGCTTAACACTGCGTAAAACATGGGCAGTTGTCTTGTCCATGAATGTGTTACCTCATCATACATCCTCCCTCCATCCCGAAACCACTCTTTTTTAATGTCCTGATTTTAAATAAATGAATGTAAATGAATCTTGCACCATCACTCTTTCTATATAAATTTTACTAATGTTTTTCCCAGCCAGTGCAGAATTCTCATGATATCGAAACTGCGAAATTCTGATGAGCAGCCAATATGCAACATTAGGGCAGATATTTTTATATCTTTTAGTTGGATTTTCCTTGTAGGTGTGGTGGTCATTTAAATAAACAATCCCTATGAGCTTGGCCAAATAGGTATGTTATTAGCACTCAGTATGCACTTGGCAGCTAGAGAAGAAAGTGATAGAGCAGAATGCTCGAGACTTGAAGTCCTCTTCTCTGTAGGAGGAGAATGCGGGGTCCTGGAAGGAAGGGGTGGGTACTCACTGGTTCTATTTCAGCTGTAGTTTCCACGTGGCCAGGCTGGGGCCACCACCCACTCACCAAACATAGTATGGACTCTATCCAGAGTGGAGCAGCCCAGAGGGTCCCTTCTTGGTTCCAACTTGGTTCAAATTTGAGTAAATTCTTTCCTCTGGGTTCACCCCTGGGTGGTGAGCGTATTAGCCACAGAGACAGTAACTATCTGAACTCTGGATAATACATAAGAAAAAGCAAATCCAGCATAGTTTGGAATTTAGTACAGACTCCTTCCTTCACCAGGAAACAAGGACAAAGACCCAGCAGAATGGAGTCCTCTTTCCAGGTCAAGAGCATCCTCTTCTAAGGAGCCTTAATTAAGACGAAGCCTTCCCACTTCTCTGAAGGAATCAGGAGATTTGGGGGCCAAGCCTTTGGTGCTTTGATCTCCCAGAATCTTCCTAGTCATCATACTAGGAAACATGAAAGATGTCAAACATGGAGCTGCCGTGGACGGTCAGGCCTCCTGAGGGCTGGCACTTCTCACCCTCAAAGCCTGTCACCTCTTTGATATCATATGCATCCTAAGATCCCTCATGGGGACAATAGGCGGAGGATTTCAGATTCTGAAACATGTGGTTTTTATAATGTTCCTTTTCTGCTCCTGAGCCACAGAGGTCTCCTTTTTCTCTCTTGTAGCTTCACACCTAAATTTCTCAGGCTGGCTTTCAGGGCCACTGATGCTGCGTTCTCGTGCTACCAAGCCCGCCTCCAGCACCTGCCCCGTCTCCACTGTTTTGAGGCTACACAGTCTACGAAAGTTGTATCTGCATCCTCGCTGCTTTGGTGGGCTTATTTTGAAGTCCTTCCCTTCTCCTTTCTCATTCTATTGGCTCATCCTACTCAGTTGCAGGAGCACCATCGGACTAGAAATAGCCCAACAAGTGTGTCTTGTACTGATTAGAAAAATACCTGAGGGGTAGGTATGCGTCATACCCCTGTAGCTAAAAGGGAACATTAGAGGGAGTGAAATGAGGTGATAGAGAAGAAAGATCTAATCATAAGGGCTGTGGGAGGGGGAGTCAGGGCGAGAAAGGAAGGTGGGACTGGAGTGATAGAGAGGTGTGAGAAAGAGATACTGACAAGGGTTATTTAGCATAAGAGAAGTACTCTTCTCATCTGTAATCATTCCCTCCATTTTCCCAACATAAATTTCCTTTAACCAAGAATTCTGAGGCGACAGAGTTCCCTGGCCTCAAAGGCCCAGGATGATGCTGAAGTAAAGAGCGCCTTTGCAACATCAGAAGTAAATCCTCATATATTTTACTGACTCCTCATACCCCCTCCCCACAAAAAAAGTCATTTCACATCATTGGGACTCAGTTTCTTTCCGACCTAACGCAGAGGTTGGATTAGATCCGGGTTCTCGGACTTAGGTATGCATCAGGGTCCCTGTGGTAAGGCTTTCAGTTTGCCCACTCAAAACCCATCCTCCTTGCTCTCAAGACATGCAGGTTAGTGAGGAACAGGGCTACCCACCCAGACTTCCTTTCCCAGGCCATCTGAGCAGAAGTGATGTGTACCACTTCTAAGTCCAGGGTTTATGACATTGCCTCCTCTGTGAGTTTTTTTTCCTTTCCAAGAGCTAGATCCCAACAATGGATGTAAGTATGACTCAACTCTAATCATGTAGGTGATGATAGTGTCCTAGGAATAACCTAAACAGCAAAAAGGGAGGAAGTCACGTGCCTGAATAACTGTGTCAAACAGTTATCTTGCCAACCTGGACTGCTCAACTTGGGACTGATCTATGAGAGAGAAATAAATAGATTTTTTAAAATTTTATTTATTGATTTTTTTCAGTGGGGAGGAGGTAATTAGGTTTCCATTTGTTTGTTTTTAATAAAGGTATTGGGGATTGAACCCAGGACCTTGTGCATGCTAGGCACACACTCTACCACTGAGTTATACCTCCCCCCATAAATAGATATTTTTAAAGTTCACTACACTTTGAGATTTTGTTCCATCAGCTTAGCCTTACCCTAACAAATTACAGAACTTTAGGAGCTGTTATATATAAATCCCCGGGCCCTAATCCAGGAGATTTGGGGTCTGTAGATCAAGATAAGGCTACCGTATGCGGGTTTGTTACCAAAGTGTTAGGTTTGCTGACGTGCTCCAAAGTTTGTACACCACTAGCTTAGATAACCTAAAAGCTTTCTTTCTGGTTATAGGATCTTCTATTTCTCAGCCCAATTAGGGGAAAAAAAAAAAAAAGGCTGCTGCCTATATATTCAGAGCTTTTGAGGACAGCACAGGGGCAAAGCAAGCCAATTTAGCTCTGAGTATCCACCTCCAAACAGTGTCCCAGAACTACCAAGACAGTCCCACCCTGAAACCCCCTAGCCAGAGAACACAGCTGGGGGGACACACGAGAGCACTGCAAGAGGGACTCAGGTTCCGGAAAGAGTGGCTGAGAATTTCGAAGGGGGTCACACGCAAGGGATGCATCCTTTTCATTCCAGCAACCAGAGAACTGGCAGGTTTTTGATAAGATGGCAGCTTTAACTCCCTAAACCTTCATATTTATCAAATATGTTCAACTTTTTCAAGCTCACATGTGATAATGTCCACAGGGATGATTAATAGTAACAATAATTAATAACAACAGTTGAGGCCTTATGATATGCCAGGTATTGGTCTAAAATGTACATATTCTTTTTTTATTCTCAGAATAACCTCCATGGGTTAGATTATTATTATCCTCACCTTAGGGATGAAGAAACTGATGCACAAAGACTCTGGGTAACGTACAGTCACACACATAATGAGGAGACCCCCAGGAACGAACAAGGACAGTCTCATTCCATGGGCCATGCTTTTAGCCACTCATCTTTGTTAGGGAAAAAGCAAACTTGTCCATACAGGAAAGACAGTGGTGGAAGACTTCTGAATAAATTCCACCTCACATGATTATTTTGGAGATTAAATGGAAGCTGTCATTACCGTGACTGTGATGATGATCAGATCAGGGCACTGTGTTAAGCACACAACCGGAGAAAAACATTTGCAATACATATGGCTGATAAAAGGGTGACATCTTTAATACATAAAGAGGTCTGTCAACTTAATAAGGTAAAGATGAACATATCTGTAGACAAACAAGCAAGGGTCCTATAGAAAAACAGAAAATTAACAAAAGAAAAAAATAGTTGTTAAACATTTGGAAAATTTTTCCTTCCTCCTAAAGGTAATATAAATAAAAAACAACATACAAGGACCTATTGCATAGCACAGGGAACTGTATTCAATTTCTTCTAATAACATACAACAGAAAAGAAACTGAAAAGAAAATATATACATATATGTATAACTGAATCACTTTGCTGTACAACTAAAACTAACATTGTAAATGAACTACACCTCAATTAAAAACAAATTTTTTTCAGTGACATCTTTTTTTTTTAACCTGCCCAATCAGCAGAAATAAGATTTTAAGAAATAACATAGTGCCGGCATAAGTGCAGGAAAGGGGACATCCTCATGCACTCCTCTCGGAAAAACAAATGGATGTACTTGCTGTCTTTCTGGAGAACAGTTTGAACAAAGCCGCATTCTAGATTTCAGACCCTCTGCCAAGTTTGGTTTTTTTACTCCACTGATGACACTCCC